CCACACCCACTTGTTTCTTAGGTCCATTTGATTGGAAAACCTTTTCCCAATCCTTTACTCTGAGGTAGTGTCTGTTTTTGAGGTTGAGGTGTGTTTCTTGTAAACAGCAGAATGTTGGATCCTGCATTCGTTTCCATTCTCTTAACCTGTGCCTTTTTATAGGTGAATTAAATCCATTGATATTAAGTGATATTAATGACCAGTGGTTTTTGGTGGTACTGTTTGTGTGTTTCTCTTCTTTGAGTTGTACTGTTGGATGGTTCTCAGATGTCTGTGTTATTATGGGTGTTGTTGGCTTCCTTGGTTTGTGGTTTTCCTTTTAGTACTTTCTGTAAGACTGGATTTGTGGCTCTGTATTGTTTAAATCTGTTTTTATCCTAAAATATCTTGTTTTCTCCATCAATGGTGAATGCAAGCTTTGCTGGGTATAGTAGTCTGGGCTTGCATCCATGGTCTCTTAGCATCTGCAGCACATCTATCCAAGACCTTTTGGCTTTCTTGGTTTCCATTAAGAAGTCAGGTGTAATTCTGATAGGTTTCCCTTTATATGTTACTTGACCTTTTTTCTTTGCAGCTCTTAACATTCTTTCTTTGTTCTGTATATTTTGTGTTTTGATTATGATATGGTGAGGGGATTTTTTTTAATCCAGTCTATTTGGTCTTCTGTATGCTTCTTGTACCTTCATAAGAATATCCTTCTTTTGTTTGGGAAAGTTTTCTTCTATAATTTTGTTGAATATATTTTCTGGGCCTTTGAGCTGTAATTCTTTTCCTTCTTCTACCCCTATTATTCTTAGGTTTGGTCTTTTTATGGTGTCCCAGGTTTCCTGGATGTTTTGGGTTAAGAATTTGTTAGATTTGCTGTTTTCTTTAACCAATGAGTTTATTTCCTCTATATTATCTTCAGTGTCTGAGATTCTTTCTTCTATCTCTTGTATTCTGTTGGTTATACTTGTCTCTGTAGTTCCTGTTTGTTTACCCAGATTTTCCATATCCAGCCATCCCTCGGTTTGTGTTTTCTTCATTACCTCCATTTCATTATTCAAGTTTGAACTGTTTCTATTACCTGTTTGACTGCTTTTTCTTGGATATCTTTGAGAGATTTATTCATTTCTTGTAACTTTTTGTTTGTCTTCTCCATTTCTTTAAAGGAGTTTTTCACATCCTGTTTAAGGGCCTCTATTATTTTATTAATGTTACATTTAAAGTTGGTTTCTTCCACTTTTTCTGGACTAGGGTGTTCAAGTCTTCTTGTTTCGTGTTCACTGGATTATTATGTTGTCATGTTGCTTTTCAGGTTGTTGGAAGAATTCTTTCATTGGAACCTGACCATCTTTTCCTTCAAATGCAGCCAAGAGAGTCTTGGCATCTTGGTCCAATCTTTGCTGTGACTGGCTGTGTACTTTGGGAATTTTCTTGGTTTGGCCTCTCTTAGGGCCCCTTGGCACTATAGTCAGTCATGCTGGTAGATCTAAGGACCCCGCAGATGGAAAGGAGCGCCCTCTGGCTGGATCTCTTCAGTACAGGAGCAGGAACTGTTCCTAGGCCAAGGACCTCACAGAAAATAGGGCAGGCTTGGGGGAGGCAGGGTTGTGTGGAACAAAGAAGCCCCTGCAGCAGGAGCTGGAGGGGCCCTGTACTCCCTTCTGGACTGTCCAGAGGGGGGTGGGTGTACACACTCATCCCTCTGGATGGATCTCCTCAGCACACGAACAGGGACTCCTGGTGGGCTAAGGACCCCATAGACAAAAGGGCAAACTTGGGGGGCAGGGTTGTGTGGAACAAACAAGCCCCTGCAGCAGGGGCAAGAGGTGCCCTGCACTCCCTTCCGGGGACCTTCTGGCAGGCACACTCACCCCTCTGGGTGGAAAGCCTCAGTGCAGGAGCAAGAACTGTTCCCGGGCCAAGGACCTCGTAGACAATAGGGCAGGTTTGGGGAGGCAGGGTCGTATGGAACAAAGAAACCCCTGTAGCAGGAGCTGGAGGTGCCCTGTGCTTGGTTTCCGGACCATCCACCCCGGGATGGCACACAGTCACCCATCTGGATGGAACTCCTCAGTACAGGAACAGGAACTACTGGTAGTCCAAGGATCCTGCAGACAAAATGGCAAACTTGGAGGGGGGCAGGGTCGTGTGGAACAAAGAAGCCCCTGCAGCAGGAGCTGGAGGGGCCCTGTACTCCCTTCCGGATTGTCTGCTCACGTCGGGTACACACTCACCCGTCTGGATGGATCTCCTCAGCACCCGTCTGTAAGTTTTGTATGGGTATTATGTCAATTGTGTTCACTCCTTGGCAGCGAGAGCTTTGCACAATGCCTGGAGCACAATAAATGACTATAAATATATGTTGAATGAATAAACAATAAGAAGAGAACCAAAAATCAATCAATAAATAATGCAGATTTGTGCATAGCTGACTGAGAAAATATATACTAGAAATAAACTGAAGAAAAAAATCAGTTTAAATTTTGGACTTGAAGGTCTGAGAAACTTGAGAAACATGAAGAACATTTTCATTTTCACTATAAGTAAGATCACGTATGTATCATTTCAGCTCCATAAAGGTAGAACTGAAGTTATAAAACTGATTCAATAGTATATGAAGAACAGTTGGACGTCACATGGGAGTAGCTGCCCCGGAAGTAATAAGTACTGGCCATAAGCGTCATAGCAAGCAAACCGGAAGTAACTGAAGCGGAGTCCTGCAGAAAAGAAAGCCGTCGCCGTGAGTACACTCGTGAGCGCCGGGTGGAGACTAAAAATATGAAGAAATACAGTAGCGACTGGTCCCGTGGGGACAAGCTCTATGAAAAGTCTGGCTGTTCTTCTCAAGAGTCACAAACAAGCTACCAATAGTAAGTTTATAGAAATATTTGATTCAAAGTTCAGAAGTCTGTCAGGGCCATGTTGGGATAAACTGTTTTAAGAAATGGCGCGGGAAGTGGGGGGAGGGTACTGAGACCAGTTTGTCACAGCGGCATTTTCATTACTTGAGCTTAAATCATAGCTAGTCACTGGTTAATCCTGTTTTAATAATGTGATGGTAAAAAAATAGCCTTTAACTCAAAGTTTCCATAAATAATTAAAAATGCTTAGAAAAGTGCTTGTTTGTTTTTGTTTTGTTTTGTTTTGGGGGAGTGCTTGGCATTTAATTCTCTTCGTGTGGAGGGAGTAAGTAAAATATATGTGTTTTAAACAGCAGAAAATTTTCAGGCATTCAACTATGGCGTTAGTAACAGAGACACAGAATGAAGAATATTCTAGAACTTTAAGTGGTGTTCCAGCCCCTTATGTAGTAGGCGGTTTTTCTTATCCTTTTCTCAAGTTCTACCCCCTTTTCCTGTTGGCTACTAACCTGGGTTATTTCGTTTCTCATTGGCCTGCCTCCTGGAATAAGCCATGCCCGTAACTGGGCCCTTTATTTTTAACTTGTGCGAGGGCAGGTAACTGGAAAATTGAGATGTATTTGTTTTCCGTATTAAGATTACAAGAACAAGGTGTTTGTTTTTATGGGAGTGAGGTGGGGGTTGTTTTGTTTTTACATTGTTTTGTTGGGATTTTTTGGATGATTTATTTTTGGTTTTGTCTGTTTCTCTCCATTATGCTAAGCGAACAGTGTGCAAGTAATTAAAACAGATGGGTGGAATGGGTTGAAACTGAAGGGAACTGCTGTTTAACGTTGGAACATCGGGGTGATTTTAACATTGGGATACAATGGGCAGGTTGAAAAATACGTGCCTTTTGCAGGTTTCATTTTCTTGCTAAACATTTCATCTTTTCACAGTCAAAGTAGCCAGATGTGTGAGGAGGAGGTGACATCTCAACTGGCGAATTATAACTTTTCAGGCACCCCAAGTACCCTGATGTCCTTTACTATGGTGAGTGTGTGACATCATGGCGTGCTAAGGAGCTAGGGCCTGGGCAGCAGAGGGAAGGGAAGGCACAAGTAGAACTTGAATACAGAGCAAGGAGCTTGGACACCTAAACAAGTGGCGAATCAGAGTCTGGTCTGCCAGCCCCCCCCCCCGGGGGGGGGGATTTTAAAAGTTAGAATCTCCCAGTCACTCACAAAGAAGGACGATTATTTCTAATTCAAATAAATAGAACTTCTCAGTAAACGGTGGGGGAAAAATTACTTAAGGGATCTTTTTGCAAGACCACTCTGAGAAGTTTCATTTCTTGGTTTTTGCAATTCATTTACTAACACCAGTGAATGTTTATGTAAGAAAAATTTCTGAGTGAGGCCACTTAGACTTCCATGTCATACTTAACTTAAAAAAAAAAAAAACTCACCTACTTTCGAGTTTGGTCCTAAGTTTGAAACTCAGCAGTGACTGTCTACCCCTCACACCTTGTTTCTACCCACACTCACCCTCACCCTTAAGTTACTATCCATATGGTATCCTTTTGTAGGTGAATGGTTTATAAAACACTAGTTTTTTTTTTTTTTTTTTTTTTACTTAGTTGCCAAGCAAAGATCTTAGAGTTATGTGTGAAGGGTGAAAAAAAGGACAGATGAATACGTTCTGAAGACATAGACCTAAAACTAGGAGCAGATTGCTTTTGTTTTTTATTATTATTTATTTATTTATTAAAGATTTCTGTCTCTTCCCCGCCACCGCCTCCCATATCCCTCCCCCTCCCCCAATCAACGCCCCCTCTCTCATCAGCTCGAAGAGCAGTCCAATGTGGGACTCTGTCTCTGTCTCCTTTCATCACCTGATGAAGGTTAATATGCAGGAGGATGTCTATATGTTTTTCTTTGGGTTCACCTTCTTATTTAGCTTCTCTGGGATCACAAATTATAGGCTCAATGTCCTTTATTTATGGCTAAAAAGCAGATTGCTTTTAAAAGTATTTGTGCCTTGACCTTTATAATACTCAAATATATGTGATAGTTGATTTCATGTGCAGCTTTATAGTGATGAATATAAAGCAAGAACTTCTGCTGCATATTTCGTGTATGATTTACCTTTGTGAAAATTTTCTTGTAGGATTTTAAAACTTGCGTGGAACAAACATGTAGAGCCGCTGAGGAATTCATCAATATTTACTATGAGACAATGGACAAAAGAAGACATGTGAGTTTTTTAGTTTCTCTTGCTCTTTGTTTAAGTGCCATTTCTTTGTTTAAATATCATTGATCTGACCTACATAAATAATTACTGTACACACATTCTTTAAGAGTTGTTTTTATTTTGTTACAGTTTGGTGGGTTTTTTTTTCTTTTTTGGTGTTGTTTTATTTTGTTTTCTTGGTTTGAGTTTATTTTTTTACTGTATTGGGTGTTTGTTTTGCTTTTTTGAGAAACTACTACTTGGAAAGCAAGGGAAAGGATTTGGAAGGACTTGGAGGAGGGGAAAATATGATCAAAATATGATCAAAATATATTTAAATTTAAAAAATGGTTTCAGATAATAAAAATATAATGTTGTTGATCACACTGTAAACCCCAAGAGTGCATTATTTACTGGAAAAAAAACCTGTTTCTAATTGTGGTATGGCTCATTTGTAGCACATTTAACCCAAGAGTTTTCTGCTTAAATATTGTAAACAGGATTAAATAAAGTCAACCATAGGTCAAGAGGTGGAGCAGTTAGCAGGATTATCACGAAAAGAAATAGAGAATGAGAGGGAGTCAGGAGGATGGGTAGAGAGACACACAGGAAGTAGAAGGGAGGAACATTCTGTTTGAGGAGTCTTGTTTGAGAAGGCATAGGAGAAAGGGGAGTCTTCTGGGACATCAGATGAGGAGAAAGGCCATCTGAGTGCTTTCTCTGCCTCTCTGAGCTAGCAAGCTTTTACCCCAGCATCTGGCTCCTGAGTCTTTATTGATAAAATTGAACAATTAAGATTTTGTTAAAAATGGTGCTGGCACAACTGGATGTCAACCTGTAGAAGAATGAAAATAGATCCATATCTATCACCATGCACAAAACTCAAGTCCAAATGGATCAAAGACCTCAATATCAGTCCGAACACACTGAACCTGATAGAAGAGAAAGTGGGAAGTACTCTACAACTTATGGGCACAGGAGATCACTTCCTATGTATAACCCCAACAGCACAGACATTAAGGGCAACATTGAATAAATGGGACCTCCTGAAACTGAGAAGCTTCTGTAATGCAAAGGACACTGTCATTAAGACATAAAGGCAACCCACTGACTGGGAGAAGATCTTCACCAACCCTGCAACAGACAAAGGTCTGATCTCCAAAATATATAAAGAACTTAAGAAACTATACTTTAAAATGCTAATTAACCCAATTAAAAAAATGGGACACTGAACTGAACAGAGAATTCTCAACAGAAGTTCAAATGGCCAAAAGACACTTAAGGTCATGCTCAACCTCCTTGGTGATAAGGGAAATGCAAATCAAAACAACCTTGAGATACCATCTTACACCTGTCAGAATGGCTTAAATCAAAAACACCAATGATAGCCTTTGCTGGAGAGGTTGTGGAGTAAGGGGTACACTCATCCATTGCTGGTGGGAATGCAAAATTGTGCAACCACTTTGGAAATCAGTGTGGCAATTTCTCAGGAAACTCCCAAGATCCAGTAATACCACTCTCGGGAATATACCCAAGAGATGCCCTATGATATGACAAAAGCCATTTGTTCAACTATGTTCATAGCAGCATTATTTGTAATAGCCAGAACATGGAAAAACCTAGATGCCCTTCAATGGAAGAATGGATGAAGAAAGTGTGGAATATATACATATTAGAGTACTACTCAGTGGTAAAAAACAATGACATCATGAATTTTGCATGCAAATGGATGGAAATAGAAAACACTCTTCTGAGTGAGGTAACCCAGACCCAAAAAGATGAACATGGAATGTACTCATTCATAATTGGTTTCTAACCATAAATAAAGGACAATGAGCCTGTAATTTGTGATGCTAGAGAAGCTAAATAAGGAGGTGAACCCAAAGAAAAACATATAGTCATCTGCCTGGATATGAACCTTCATCTGGTGATGGATGGAGATAGAGACAGAGACCCACAGTATAGCACCAGACTGAGCTCCCAAGGTCCAAATGAGCAGAAGGAGGGAGAACATGAGCAAGGAAGTCAGGACCATGAGGGGTACACCCACACACTGTGACAGTGGGGCTAATCTATTGGGAGCGCATCAAGGCCAGCTGGACTGGGACTGAATAAGCATGGGATAAAACTGGACTCTCTGAACATGGCGGACAATGAAGGCTGATGAGAAGCCAAGGACAATGGCACTAGGTTTCGATCCTACTGCATGAACTGGCTTTGTGGGAGCCTAGCTTGTTTGGATGCTCACCTTCCTGGACTTGGATGGAGGGGGGAGGACCTTGGACTTCCCACAGGGCAGGGAATCCGGACTGCTTTTCAGACTCGAGAGGGAGGGGGAATGGAGTGGGGGGAGCGGGAGAGGAGTGGGGAGAGGAGGAGAGGAGTGGGGGGAGGAAGAGAGGAGTAGGAGGAGGGGAAGAGGAGTGGGAGGAGTGGGAAGGAAATGGGAGGTGGGGAGGAGGCAGAAATTTTTTCAACAAATAAATAAATAAATAGAAAGATTTTGTTAAAAACATTTCTCACCCACTATCTGGCACAGCCACATAGACAGGGAAATTATGTCAACTATGGACAAACTGAGAAGCCATAAGGTTTGGTAAGATACCTGGGAAGTCCTCAAGGAAAGAATCTAATATGAAAAGGAAAACTCTTCTCCATGTTAAAGATGGGAAATATCATAATACAGGGCTTTATGACCCTATATAGTGCTACTTTAGATGACTTGAAAACAGAAGCAGAAAATGAAAAGATAAATGGCTTAACTGAGATTGACATAGTACTAATAATTACTGTCAGTCTGGAAATTTGTATTTTATCCCTAATAGCCATAGTGGGATTTTTGTGCAAATATGAGAAATGGTTTAATAATTATACCAAATATGAACAGTGGATTGATAAGGTACAAGTCTTAGAAAGACTTATGAGTGAAAATAAGAACAATTCCCAAAGACAGAGGAATTTAGACAAGAATCTACCATGCCAGCACATAATGAAACTGAAGAGGGGTGGGAGAAGGTTCTTAGAAAACCAACCTTAGCTTAGTCAGTTACTATACAAGAACTAACATCAGACAGTAGGCATCTCCAAGGTTATGAAGAAGTTAAATGGACTCCTAGAGAAATACGGGATTTGAGGAGATTTAAGGAAGTTGTAATTTCATATGGTATACATATGTATATTTCAAAGATGTGTTGACCTCAGAATGGAAACCAGGATATGTATTCCATTAGAGAAGAGGTTTTGCCTTTGTTTTCACAGAAGAAAAGCTGTGAATGTTGTCAAGATTGATAAAGATTAGATTCGAACGGGAGAGGCCTCCTGAATAAAGAGAGGTGTTAGTTCATTACACAGGTTGGTCCTTCAGTCCAAATTAACTTAAAGAGGCCAACAAATGCCTTTCAATTGATCAGACATGAAAAAATAACAAACAAATAATATTATTTTTAATGATAATTTAAGAAAGGCACACTTGCTTTACTGGCATGAAATTAAAAATGGGTTTTCTTGAACCATATGTCTTAATTCCATGTTCGAATGTTAAACTGTAGATTGCCGTTCAGCAATATACATGCCATCTTGGACATCAGCTTTTGAGGATTCTTCTTAAATAAAGAGGATATTTTTGTTGTTTTGGTATTAAAAACATAGTTAAAATATTTAAAAAAATTAAGTAAATTCAAAGTATTACTATAGTTCAAGATTGGTGTTATTTGAAGCTAAAATAAAATATTTGAGCAGGACACTGGGGGGGAGGGGTCACAGGTGAGCCATCCCTGAAGGCATGAGAGCAGGACAGCTGACCCCCTCCTCTGTATGTCCCCTACAACAATCAAAAGAGAGGGCCCTGTACCTTGACTGGGTAAAACAATAGAACTGACCCTGGGAATATAAGTATGGGGGACTCAGATATAAGGGTGTGAGCAGGAGAACTGCATCAGAGGCAGGCACATAAGAATTACAGTGATTGGAAATTAAAAGCCACTTGCAAAAGGCAAGCCAAAATTCAAAGTGAATGTCCTTTGTAATCTAAAAATAGACACACTTAAACCTTGAATTTATGTATAAAAAGAACAGGGAAATAGGTATATTTATCTACACATGCTCCAGTTTAAGAAGAATTTTTTAATTAAAAGATAATATTTTTTGTTGCCAAAAAACCATTTTGCCCTAAAAAAGATATAACCTGCTAAAAAAGGAATCCCCTTTTATTATATTGTTGTTAAAATGTAATAAGAAAAGAAAGAAAGTTGCTTATAGACTGTATGGGTAAGGTATTAGGGGGGATGTCAGCTTAGAAATAATGTCATTAAGTTTGCCTTTATCAAGTACCATGCTCTTAGGCAAAGTCCCAACTTTTCTTAACCTCACTTTACTTTTAAGGGGGAAAATTTTTGCAATGCTAGAAATTAAACTCAGGGCCTTAACAAACTATGTGAGTGCCCTACCTCTGCCCTAAGTCCACAGCTCAGAGATTAAATACTGTGTATAACACTGGGTCCAGCACAACTGTACTTAAATAGTTGATCAGGTTCCTTTAGTCCCTTGAGTTAACATAGTTTAATAAATAGCGCAGTGTGGAATGGTCTACAATTTCAGGGATGTCTCCTGGTTTTCCTCTTTTATTTTCTATACTAATAAAAAATTCTGATTAAAGTTTACAGCTGTAGCTGATGTTCACAATAAGGATCCAAGTGATGTATATGCTTTTAGTTTTTAATAGATCAGGTTTCAGATCAGATTTTCCATTGTAATTTACCTCTCAACTCTACTTTTATAAAGGAATTATTTCAGTATGTGATCAAATAGTCTTGCCGTGGTTTCCTACCAGTACAGAACTCTTTTATTATTTAAAAAAATACTTTTTTAAGAAAAAATGTAAACTATATTACTATAGCTGACATAGACCAGGGGGTGGGAAAGGCTATGACAATGGATGTTCATTGTCTCTTGTCATGAATATTTGTTATTTGTCCTGTCTTATTGCTTTCAAAACTAAAGTAGCCTGTTGGGTTTATAGTAGCACAGGTGCTTAATCCCAGAACCTGGGAAGCAGAAGCAGGCAGATCTCTAAATTTAAGGTCATCCTTGTCTACATAGTGAGCTCCAGGACAGCTAGAGAAACAGTGAAATCCTGTGGGTGCAACAGAGCCAAGCTCCATTCATACCTGTAATTCTAACATTCGGGAGGCTGAGACCAGATCCTGAATTTGAGGCTAGCCTGGGATACAGAGCAAAAGTAAAAGGAGTTAGTGTCATTCATTATCTGTGCAAGGGTATGTTTAATCCTTTCAATCCAACTTTACTTTGAAAATAAAACAAGTAATGTGTCACTTGACCCAAAAGAGATAAATCTGCTAGATTTTGCCTCACGTGCACTTCGTCACATTTATTCTCATCACTCCACTTTCAGTGCTTCGGACTCTTTGGTGCTTACTATGCCAACACTGGAAAAATGAATTCTTCCCAGCATAAAAGCATCAAATGAGTCACATGTGTTTAGTCACTAGAACGAAAGCGGATTAGGACTTAATTCTCGAAATTGGAAAGGAGAAACTGAAAATGTGTTCGAGACTGGGTGTGTTTGGGATTTGTGATCATTTAATATATTTTTAAATAGCAAGACTGTAAAACTCTTATTATTTGAGAGGATGCAAGTTTTTGTCATTGAAACTAAAGCTGAAATACCAGGTCTATTGAGTCAGATAATACCTATTTAAGGCAAGCTAGATATCATGGTCACATTGTTTTCCAGTAGCAAGGGGGCAAAGGAAGTAGAGATGGAGACAGAGTCAGGAAAATGTTTACATTCCATCTACAATCTCTTACTGTATTTCTAAAAAAAGATGTTGCAGAAAAAAATTCATTTCTTAAAAGTTTTCCTTTATTTTTAGGCAATTGTCAGGATGTATTTGGACAAGGCCACCCTAATTTGGAATGGAAATGTTGTTACAGGGCACGAAGCCCTTTCTAAGTTTTTTGAGACGTTGCCTTCCAGTGAGTTCCTAATCAATATGCTGGACTGCCAACCAGTGCATGGTAAGATCACGATCTTCCAAAGTATCTCCTTTATTTGCTGTTAGTAAACACTGAGGTTTACACCTAAAGCAGCAGTAAGTTTTAATAGAAGATAGATTTACTTATTTGAGCACGTGAAGTGTCACGAAAAGTACTTCATCCAGTCAAGTTTTGGGATTGTTTGATGCTTTTCACTCCAGAGAACTACCATTAAGTTTGGAATAGTGTATGCTTATTGGTTATTACAACTTATATGAGAAATTGCAACTAAATGTGATTTTTGTTGAAAGGGAGAGTGTATACAGAAAAAAAAAATCTATGCCATATCATAGATTAATGTGTTTGAGGGTCTGTTAACATTTCAGAGAACTGTATTCTGCGAAAGAACAACTTAGGACATGACAGAATTTGATTCAGAGTAGATAGATGTAGTATACAATATTTACCACTAGATGGGGTACTTACTATCTTAACTGATTATTTATATGGTATTTCCCTTTATAGTTCCTGAAGGACGGCTTAAGAAGCAAACTATGAATGACGTTAGATATCTAATGAAATATTAATATATAGGAAACAAATGGTCAGGTTAGATTTATAATCTTTATTTTGAAACTTGAGAGTACCCCATAAATCTTTCTGGATAGAAAAATCATCTTCATATTTTTTAAATATTCAATTTTTGACTTTGGGATGTATGCTCAAAGGACAGAACATGAAAATCTTTAGCATTACATCGTAAGCTTATTGAGACATGTAAATTGACATCTTTCTCTTGTTTGTGTTGCTAAAGAGCAAGCTACCCAGTCTCAGACTACAATTCTTGTTGTGACCAGCGGAGCCGTGAAGTTTGATGGAAACAGAAAACACTTCTTCAACCAGAACTTTCTTCTTACTGCACATAGCACTACTAACAACACCGTGTGGAAGATTGCAAGTGACTGCTTCCGTTTTCAGGATTGGGCTAGTTGTTAAAGAAGCAAAAGCTCATTCTCTAAGTCCATTAGTTCCAGCAAGAGAAGTTGAATGTGAATTTATATATTTCATTGCAAAAGTACTATAAACGAGTATTGCTGAAACAAAATGTATTGATTTTTTTATTGCTAACAACACTTTTGCTAGAGCAGCTGCCAGTTTGAATTATTGCACCTAAGAGCTTTAAAGATAGATTTTTACACACCTTATGTATACATTCCACTACTGATATTCTCAGGGCAATATTAAACTTGATCTAGGTACTAAGATACTGTGAATCCAATCCATTGCACAAATGGAGTCCTTTTGTAATACTTTCTGTGGAAGAGCACAACATAGCTCTGTAAGAGTAAGTAGTGGTGTTACGGTTATTAAGATAATTTTTCAGTGAAGCACATGCCTATTTATGATTAACACTTGTTATACGTTTTAATATTTAAGTGTAGAATTTTTAAGTAAGTTCAACTTAGTACTAGAATCAACTAGTATTCTGACATATTTGAATTACTAGAAGTGTTTTTTAACACAGCCCATTTTTATTTTTTATCTTATATTTCTTTTTTATAATCCATATTGCTTTATAACCCATATTATAATCCATATTGTTTTCTTACTTTGACATGTATCCTTTTGAAATGAGGTGATCGACTAGATTGGTGAAAAATGCTCTCGACTGATTCTTGAGTGTTGGGTGCTTTTACTGGCAGTAACACCTTTTAGACATTTTCTTGGCAGCTTCAGGTAAGTATATTTATGCGATAAGTGGCAGTGAAACTCAAAGCTTTAATGGGAGAATAGGGAATAAGAAATGTAGAAATTCAAGACTGAAGTCAAAAAAATGTGAGAGATGACCAAGTGTTAAAATCAGTTCTTGTTTCCTCCTGGTAGTATAACCTAGTTTGAGGATTTAACTCCCAGAGTCTCTAAGTATTCTTGCCAAATGGTCATAAATTGACTTTCGTTCTAAGAATTGTATTTTAAGATCTTACTTCCCTTTGTACTTGTCTCCAGTATCCATCCCAGTTTCTTCAAGAACTTCTGCGAGTCAACCATAATCAGGAAACTTAACTGGGTGACAGAATCTGCAAATTAGGGCAAAACCTACTGCAGTCTCTGTACACACTCAACTCCTAAGGTTTCCCCATCAACTTCAGACCCAAGACTTCCTTATATTACCTACCACCCACACGAATAGTTTCCTCCTCTGGTTCTGTACTGCCAACTTATTACCTACAATTTAAAGTTGTCTTCAATTTTGTAATTTGTTTTTGTGTAGCACTGGATAAAAGAAAAATCAATATTAAACCATCTCTGTGGTTTAAAAAAACAGAAAAGATCATGATAAACTTCAAAGGAACAAACTCATTAATTTTATGTCTTAACTTCTAGAAACAAAAAGATATATTTTTAGTTTTTAGCTAAACTTTAAAAGTCTTTGTAATTTTTAAATAGTTTAAGCTAAATATGCTAGCTTTGTTCTTTAGTACAAACAAAATTAAATTTTTACTACTCAATTTTAAAAATGTAATTTAGTTTGGCCCAGAAATAAACACTTTATTCTAATTAATGCATCATGAAAATTGAATAAAATAGGAAGGGATGGAACTGATATTAAAATCATGTCTTATTTCAGTGATTAGCAAAACTTACACATTCTATTCAGAGTTTGCTTACTCTTGTTTTGAATTAGTTTTTCTTACCTAATTTTTAGCAGAAACAATTAAAATACCCAAGTACTACCCTTTCTGTTGCTAGAAAAGTATCAAAAGCTGTGTACAACTAGCAATAACAAAATTGAACCATTGTGAATTACTTTATCCATACTTTGTATAACTCCATAATCTGTATGACATTTTAATGGCTGGAACTTCTCATATATGAACCTATTCCTTTTAAATCTTCTTAAAACAAAGAAAAAAATGTAGAGATGTTGAAAACAATGGTAGATAACTTGAGCTTTTTTTCTTTCTCATTTCTATAGTCCATCTTTTTCTTCCCATTTCCTATCAAGTATTTCCATTGCAACTCTTTGAAGTTCCAGTGAAGTTTGGGGTGAGAAGTTAGAATTCTTCACTGGAGAAAATAAAACATTTATTTAGTGAGCATTGAAACAGAAATACAGTTGTGTTCTAGAAATAATTATTCCTTCAGATTTAATATTACTTTAAAAAATATGCCAGGAGAATCTGGAGAGAAGGCTCCATGATTAAGAACTGGTGCAGTATGAAATAAAAAAAAAAGGTGAACCTTGGTGTTATTTACACAAGAGTTGGCCTGATTTGTGCAGAAGAGTCCCAATCTCGTTCCTGACCTCATTGATCTCTTGAACAAAGGCTGTCCTCTTGTTTATTGACTATAACAGCAAATATTGTATCAAAAGGGAATGAGGAACTTTTGTCTTAACCCTTTGACAGAAGTCTTGCAAGAAAGGAAATTGATTTTTGGTGGTTGGTTTTGACTCAGGACAGTACACAAAACCACAAATATATATACATATATACATACATACATACACACACACACATATATATATATATATCCTATGTTGCCTTCAACATTTTTCTTAGCAGTTGAGGTGGGCATTGCTTTCAATGCCTCGCTGTTTTCAACAAATGATCTTAGGTCTAGCCACAACATCTTCTGCACATGCTTTGTTCCGATTAAAGGGTAAGTGTGGTATTTGGGAAGGAAATAAGAAGTCAACCAAGCAAATAAAAGCCAAAAAGCTAATCCTTTTATTCTGAAATTTTGCTGGATTGTCTATTACCAGAAATTATAGGGGAAATTTAGTAGAGAATGCTTTCATTTGAGGTTTATTGTGAGATAAGAAGGAGAAGCATGCTTTATTCTGGCTGATGTGATAACCTAGCACTCAGGATGCAGAAGCAGGGGGATCTTTGAATCTGAGGCCAGCCTGGTCTTCAGAGTGAATTGCAGGACAACCATAACCACAGGAAAAAAAAAGATTAAAAGCAAATACTCCACGTGTTTTAACATAGCCACATACTTAGCAGGAAAATGGCAAGCCTTTGGACTTGAGAGTTGATTGTAAATCAGAGCATTTTGTCAAAACATTACAAAACTGTTCTAGTTAATATGATTCCTTTGCCAAGTTCTTCTGCACAAAAGATTTTTCATTGTGCTAGATAGTCAAATCTAGCCTTCTATAAAAGCAATAAAAAGTAGAGAAGTGTACAGATTATTGTTACAGTAATGTGTCAGATGAAGGCTCTTAGGATACAGCATATATCTTTGATTAAATGTGCAATAAACTTCCAGATAGTGAGGGCTGGTGAGACTACTTAGCTGTTAAGAGCACTAGATGCTCTTTCAAAAGACCTGAAGACCTGTGTTCAGTTCCAGGCATCCACATGGTGACTCACAACCATCTTTTACTGCATTCCTGAGATATCTGCTGCCTTCTTCTGGCCTCCACAGGAACTGCATGCATGTCATACTCAAGGATATATGCAACCAAAGCACCCCTATATATGTCAAATGTAAAAACAAGTCTTAAAAAGTTATACCTCCAGATAGTTTGTACAAAGTTTACTCCAACTCATAATCAGTAAGTTTTACTTCACAACCAATTATTAGAATGAAATGAAATGTAGCTATCTAAAATAAAATTCATACATAACCACATGTGATATACTCCTAGAATTAATTTTACTTATTTTTATTTTTCAAGACAGAGTTTCTCTGCGTACCCCTGGCTGTCCTGGAACTCATCTATAGACCAGGCTGGACTTGGACTCCACCTGCCTCTGTTTCCCAAGTCCTGGGATTAAGGACATGTGCCACCAGTGCCCTGCATGGGATTATATTTTAATTTCATTCTATTATTGTTTTGTTAATTCCAGTTACAACATGATCACCTAACTTTCACAGCATCTTAAATGATTGAATTAATAGTTTGGAGAAGATAAAAATTGAATCACACATATTGTTGTCACTATCCCTTTTTCATGGAGAATGTAGGGTCAGCTTCCAAAATATGGGGCTATGTGTCAGTGATGTCACCCTAACTCACAAATTATCAAAAATGTTCTCTCATGCTTGTCTTCTTTGGTGAGGGCAGTAGTACTGGTTACTTTCTATTGCTGTAATATAACACCATGAACTTATAGAAGAAAAAGGTTATTTGATATTAACAATGCCAGATAGTATTCATGATAATAGAGGAGAGATGACAAGAACAATGAGATGAAAGCCCAAATCTTGAACCACAAGCAGGTTTCAGAGAGAGGGAACAAACTGGGAATGGCTTGAGTCTTTAAACTGTCAAAGCCCACCTTCAGTGACATACTTTCTCCAATAAGAAAGAAAACATATACCTTCCTAAGCAGCACCCCTAACTGGAGAATGAGTGTCTAAATTCCTATGGGGGTCATTCTCATTCAAGCCAAAACATCCCACGGTGTTTTTCTCTTGAAACCATACATTTTTATTTTCTTTAATTTTACTTCAAATGATCTGTTTTTCATTGTTGATCTGAATAAGAGTATGGTGTTTTAAGTGAAAATAGCCCTCATAGGCTCAGATGTTTGAATACTTGGTCCCCAATTGGTCAGCATGTTGGTGTGGGAGGTCCTTCTGTCTATATGTTGCTTTTATTGGTTAATGAATAAAGAAACTGCCTTGGCCTACTGATAGGGCAGAACTTAGGTAGGCAGGGAAAACTGGACTGAATGCTGGAAGAAGGAAGGCAGAGAGAAAGATGCCATGGAGCTGCCGCCGGAGACAAACGCTGGGAACTTTAGCCAGTCAGCCACTGTCATGTGGCAATACACAGATTAATGGAAATGGGTTAAATTAAGATGTAAGAGTTAGCCAATAAGAAGCTAGAGTTAATGGGCCAAGCAGTGTTTTAATTAATACAGTTTCTGTGCTATTATTTCAGTTTTGGGAAGCTGGGACTAACAAGCAGCTCCTTGCAACAGCATGTTTGGGAAGGATTAGGAGGCGTGGCCTTGTTGGAGGAGGCATGTGCTATGGAC